TCAGAACTGGCTTTGACAAGCACTATGGCAATTAGACAATTAAAACAGACATGGGAGGGGGAGAAGAAGAACGAACTGGGGATGAGGGTGGAGAAAACAGTGCAACAATGAATGAATGAAAACCCAAAATCTCTGTAAATGTTTATTAAAACTAATAAAATTTAATAAACAAAAAAGATCGAAACTAAAAAAGAAACTGCAACAAGGGACTCGAGCATGGCGGAGATCATAAGGATGACTCAAAGTAGGATAAGGTTTCAATCTGTATTATGAGTTGAAGTTCACTCAAAGACACTTAACAACAACAGATTTAAGAATCCAGAATTGCTGCTATGTAGCTGAAAGATAATTTTAAATATCAGATCATGACATTTCACACAACAGCAACTTCCTCCCACTTTGTAATGAGTTAATTCACCATCTATTAGAGTTCATGCAGCAGATACAGATTCAAAGGAGCATTTATTTATGTGATTTCTAAGCTTCCTCCTGAAGCAAAGGTTAGCTAAACTCATAAATTTTTCTTTAAAAAAATAATTTAGCATAAAAATGTGAACTAACTCGTTCCACAAGGATAAATACTGTATAAAACTATCATTGTAGAATGAGAATGAGGATCCAAAGGGGAAAGAGAAAGCAGAGGGATGAAGACAGGCAGGGGGAGGCAGGAATTAATCATGGGGTTGTATAAGTTGATGGGTGGAAGGGTAAGGGAAATTAGAAGAATCTAGTCAGAAAAACAATGTATTTGAATTTTGTAAATAAACTAGTATCATTTAAAGAAATATTAGTTCAATCAGAAAAAAAACCCATAGTTTGGATTTTTATCATTTGGGAGTACCCTTTACAAGTGTAATCACCAGTCACTTCTATATAAAGCAGATCACTAAATTTTAACGACTTTGGCAGAAATAACTTACTTTTTAAACGTGAACCTGAAGGAAAACACTAATTGATTTAGAAACAATGGCAAAATACAAACAAAAGAAAAAAAATGCTTATCCTCACAGCTTTTATGAGCTAGTGACTTAAAGACTCATTAATTCGAGTTCAGCAGTTCAGCCTCCTGGCTGCAGTTCTGAGTTCACACTAAATTCCCCGATGAATTCATTGAGATGACACATTATGCTTCTTGGGGAACAGGACATACATTAATTGCTAGTCCATATTTGAAATATTCTTCTTTATAGAAAAATCTTTACACACTGCCTCATATAACATAAAAAAAGAAGCTGAAAGAATAATGGAGGTGTAAAAAGATATTTCACTCATTAATTTTAAATCATGTATTCCACATAAATATGATTCCTTATCAGCTAAAATTATTTAATACTGTAACTTTATGGATACAGGTTAAGTGTCTCTGAGGCTTTTTAATTTTTCCTTCCTCTCTTCTCACACAATGGCAGGAGAAATGGTGACATTAAGCATAAAGGAAATCTAAACATTGGCTTGAGAAGTCATTTTTCTGATACATATTTTAATGTATAATACAAATGTTTCTTAAATTTTTTTGATAACTCGTCTCTTATAAAAGAGATTATATATTCATATCTTGATTATAAACTCTAGTTCAAAGATGTTAGTAGTTTATTGGATGATACAATCTAGCTGATCTATTTTTAGTGGTAAACAAATGTAGCTATACAGCAATATAAAGAAAATGCAGAACCACCTAGTTTTACACTTGAACTTCATTGATACATTGCATTAAAGATATGTAATTACTCACCTTACATTCTTCCTGGCAAGTATCTGTTCCAAAGTTAGTGAAAATCCAATGCATAAAAATACAAGTGAAGCACTAAATAAGATTTTTCTTCCCATCAAGAAATAAATCTGTTTCTTTAAACCAAGCACATCTGTTAATTCATAAATGGAAACAGCAAGGCAGCACTTTTCATGCCATGTGACAGACAACATATTCAACCAATAAACAGGCAAAGTTCTGAAGATGGAGGGAGGGTTATAGGAGGGGCTTGACACTGCTCAATGCATAGAGTAAAATCAAAGAACATGTTTATATTGTTTGATTATTTATTTCAATGAAAGATTATGAAGGAATAAATTTTCAGAGAAAATTCATCTGCCAGTTAGCATCTTTCCTGAAATTTGCAGTATTGTCATATATTTCAAGAAGATTCTCATACTAATTTTCAACAAGTGATTACATTCCTTCCAAAATCTACAGTATATCACATATATTATCACATATTTTTGGGAATAAATAAATTTAAAGTTCTAGAATTCACCAAAAAAACACATGCCCTATTTCAGCTTATTGTTGATTTCATGAGTGTTTGCTGACAGATAATCCGATGTAATAAAAACTCATCATGTCATTAAGTTTTCAGAGACTATAAATCGAGCAGAAGATTGTCAGTCTTTCTCCTGTGGAGCCACTGGTGGATTCGAACTCCCAGAGGGGAACCATGGTTAGCAGCACAATTTCCTATGGACTATGCTACCAGAGCCTTTCATCTAATGTAATAGATAAGAACCTGTAGGACTGGGAGTCAGAAAGCCCTCAAGTGGACTCCAGTCTCCACTATTCACGTTAGTTGTTGTTGTTATTGCTATTGTTGTTATTATTAGGTACCTTCAAGTAGACTCTGGCTTATAGTTATCTCATGTGATAAGTTGTTGCTGTTGTGTGCCATAGAGTTGGAACAAACTCATATTTGACCTTCTCACAGGTTTTCAGAGGCAGTAAATTGCAATTGAGGAGTGGTTTTTTAATTTGTTTTGTCTTTTTTACTGTTTTTTAATCTTTATGGAAACAGATTGTCACTTCTTTCTCCTGAACAGACACTGAGTGGGTATGAACCTCTGGTCTTTCAATTTGTAGACGAATGTTTAACCAAGTAACCAAAAAAGTAACCAAGTTACTTTTTCTCCTGACTTTCTGGTTTCTCATATGTAGAAGAGGGACAAAAGTACATAATTCAAAGATTTGTAGTGAGGATTGAATGAAATGATGGGTGAAAACCTCTTACTTCAATTCCTACGCATGTGGTGAATATTTGTTGTCCGTGCATTGGTTCAAGTATGGCTCATAGATACGTCATGATGGGAACTGCCTTGTGTCTCAGACCATCCTCACAATCTGCATGATGTTTAAGCCCATTGTTACAAGCCCATATGTTGCTTGTAATGTCTTTATGAGCCATACATAAACTGAAGACGCAGCTAACAACAACAATTCATCACATGAGTAGGCAGGGAAATAGGAGCTCTTGTAGCCTAGTTTTAAGTATTTGTGCTGCCTATCCAACGCATGCAGTTCAAATCCACACACTGCTCCAATGGAGAAAGATGGGCAGTCTCCTCGCACACAATCTACTGCCTCTGAAAACTTTCTGGATGGTCAACTCCGAGTCAGTTCCGACTTGATGATACAAAACAACAACTACTTTTCCAAGCATGTTGTCTTTTTCCAAGGACTGTTGTCACCTAAAAGAAGCCAAAAGTATGTCAAAATTCCACCATCCTTTCCTCCAAAGATCATCCTACATGCACTTCCTCCAAAACAGATTTGTTTATTCTTTTGGCAGTCCATGGGATATCCAGCACTCTTCTGCAACATCGTCATTCAAAAATCATCAGCTATTAGTCTCTCTTATTTATTCTTTATCCAATTTTCACCTTGCTGGAGATCTCAGAGGCAGAGGGAGGTACACTGCCTCTTTCTGACACATTGCTGGGTATCTCAAAGGGGAGTGGGGAGTGCTCTACATACATCTGTGTCTTTAAACTGACATCTTCACTCTTTAGCACTTGGCAGCACATCTGTCCTATGTAACAGATCTTTTTCATTTCTTCTTTCTTTTTTTAATTTTTATTATTATTTTTGTGTGCGTGTACCATCAAATCAGCTCTGACTGGTACAAGAGGAGATTGTCCCTCCTTCGCCAGCAGAGCATCTGGTGGATTTGAACCGTGCGCCTCTGGGATTGCAGTGCAGCTTCTTGCCACTAGGCCACCAGAGCTCCCCTCTTTTTCATTTCTTCACCATTGCCTTGTAGTACGTGAGGAGCTGCACTGCCAATCCAAAGGCAAGATGTTTGTTCCTTGGAAGAAATCTGAGGCACCTGCTCTCATGAAATTTACAATCTCTGAACACCCTCTGAAGAGTCAGTTATAAGTCAGTTTCACGTTTACACCGCATGACAACAAGCTACAATGATTGTAGGTCCAAGTTAAATATATTATTGACAATATTTATCTTCACTTCATTTATAATGATGTTATTGATCCAGTTGTGAAGATTTTGTTTTCTTGATGTTGAGGTGTAACTTATACTGTAAGCTTTGATTGTCTGCAGTGTTTCAAGACTTCTTCACTTTCTGCAAGCAAATTGTATCATCTACATAAAGCAAGTTGTTGGTGAATCTTCCTCTAAGCCTGATGTCACATTCTTCTTCATAGAGTCCAGCTTCTCAAAGGATTTGCTCAGCATTGCAGATAGAATGGATATGGAGAAAGGATCCAACCTTGACACACACTTTTCTGATTTTAAACCACACAATTTCCTCTTTTCTATTTGAACAACTGCTTCTTGATTTATGTACAGTTAAGTGTTCTGGGATTCCTGTGGTACTAGGGATATTATAGCTTATGTTACATGGATCTTGGCTGAAAGCAGA